ACTGAACTCTCAACCAGGTCAGTGACTTTTTGTTGTCCTCTCCACTCTTCATTCTTGTCACTGACCTGAGTTTCCTGTCTCAGCAGAGAATCAGAGAACCCGCTTTGAGGAGTTTCCATCAACCTCTTTCAGTTATTTTTTGAAATAGGGAAAACGGCAAAAACCAAAAACACATGGGCAAAAAACTGAGAAGAATTCCACAGAACAGAACACTTTGACAGCTTGGGTAACTCACAATGACACAGGTTGAATAATCCGACGCTGATGGCAGGAAAGCAAACAGCCTAAATAGCTGCAGGGACCAGGTGAATCAGATTGGCAGTAATCAGCTACAGGGCCAATCAGGCAGGTGAGCAGGAGCAGAGGAAAAAACCCAACCATCAGCGCCAGGTTTATGACAGTTCTATTTACATTGCAGTGTCCATATAATGTGTAAAACTCCCTGCATAATTATAATAAAGAAATGTATATGCATGAAACAAGCGGAACACTATGGCGATAGCCCTACTGCTCCACTTGTGAAAGTAAAATCTGTTGGGCTCTTTTTGGCATCAAGACAATTATTCTTATTGCCACATTGCCAAGACAGGACACTGTTAAAAAAAAAAAAAAAGAACAACAGACTAAAGAAATAATTTCAGTGGAAGGATTACTCCTTGGCTGTAACATATTCTTTGTTGTTTGTGGCTGGACCAAAAATAAAATATAAGGAATGTGTCATTTAAAGCAAAACATGAACAGAGGACTAGTGAAGGCTTAGAAAAACCTTTATTTTAGGCCACAGTTACAATACTGAAGATATTTCTTTTAAGTATACTTCTTCCCTTGCTTTTAAAGTGAACAGTTGTACTTTACCTACGTTTTTTTCCTTTTTAAATGTAATTCCCATTATTTACAGCCTCTCACATTTCAAGTTGCCTCAAATGTTTTCGAACATGTGTTAAAGGAAAAAATTCTGCACTTTAAGTACTGCAGCTCCCACGTGCCTCATGACGTGCACACTTCTGTCACTTCTATAAAATTTACAAAATCACCACTCCAGTACTGTAGCACTGACCCAGATAACAACATGAGAGCAAATCTGATGCACACTGCGCTAACGCTCTTTAAAACAACAAGCTGTAACTTTAAGCCAGTAAAGGCTAAACGGCACAGAAATGATGGCTAATATTGGCAACTTAGTGGCACTTATTAAGCATTTAAATTTTCTTTCCCAATTTTCAGTTGATCCTTATGTATGGAAAAAAAAAACATTAAGGAAATAATGAGAAGGTAATATAAAAGTGACAGCCAATTGTCATAAAGTTGAATACAATTTTTTGCAAATGATAAGATTCACATAAAAGAGTGATAGAGGAATAACAATCATTCAGCTGGGCTACAGCTTATAGACGGGGATGATAAAAAAAAAAAGCTTCATTTCTGATGCGTGGCAATAGGCTCGGCTCCAAAACATACCCATAGGGAGAGCCCAGTGATCATGGTTTCCAAAGAAACCCACTTCAATAAATGCTCGACATCAGAATGTTTGGAGGGTGAGTCTTCCTGAGCCTTCACAGGCTTGCATGGATATTTACAAACATCTGAAGATCCCCAAAGTTTCTTCTGCGCACCTCCCATGGGAAAGGCTGTGCCGAGACGGAGAAGAAACAACATCACAGATGAACAAAGTTTGCACAGAAACAGGAACAGAAAATATGTTAATGTTGCACTGAATCCTATCCACAGGGGCCCTTCTTTTGACCGTTACATAGAAAATATTACTTTAATGAAAGATACTAAGCAAAGAAGTTTATTTCATTTAAATTCTAATGGGGCTAATGCTTTATTTGCTCACTTTTTCATAAAGAAATAGCACTGAATTTAAATACCTATCAAGTAAAAAATAACAGGGAGAAACAATGCTTTTTTTCTAGATGTTTTTCCAGCTTACACCTCGTTCGTCATGTTGCTGCTATCTTGTATCTCAGGCAAATAGAAGCATAAGTTGGAGACTGAAAACTTCTGGTATGAATTGGGAGCACATTAACAATCCCCCTCCTTAACACTTCCCCTTACCCCCGGGTGGAATGGATGGAGGCTGCTGGATACAAGCTGGGTGTGCCAGCACAGGAAGCAGCACTCATCCTGTGCCACCTTCTGCTCTTGTTGCAGTCAGGAAATACCAACATTACCCAACACTGATAAGAGCTGAGAGCTGAACCACAGCCACGTGGTAAACACCGTGGGACAATAGCACACGCATATATTCTGTGTTTATGTGGGTCCAAAAGAGAGGAAGAGAGAGATTGACTCAGCTGGATATGTGAGCAATACACAGTTTTTACAAGGAGGGGGGCAGAGTCTTGTGCATGCATGTATGGTGCATGTCACGGTGTTTTGTCTGCATTATATTCTAACATGTTGAACAGCAATCAAAGGGATCCATTACCGTTGAAAATTTCTGGATAATCTTCTATAAATCCAAGCCTTTAAGGCAAACCCAACTCCCTTTTTGTAGCTTAAGATTGCGGGGACTGGAGGGGCTGTAGTTAATCCCTTTAGTCATCAGGCCAGAATTAGGCTTCACACTTGACAGGTTGTCAGTCAGTTACAGAAACGACACAGAAAAACAAGACATAAACAACAATTATTTTGTACATTTAAAAAAAAACAGGCAGAGATTACAACAGTCATAATATGTAGCATTTAATGTTTGGTATAGCTCGCTTCAGAGCTGTTAAAGGTGGCTAGGCCTGCAGCAGATCATTAGGAATTTTTATTGTTCAAAATAATCTCTTATTTTGCTGTCATGAAAGTTTTTCTAAAACATATTAACCAGCCCTGCTCTTCCACTGTGGTCAGTTGGTAATTGATCCATAAAGTTCTTCCTCACCTGAAGCAGGTGTTGCCCCTCTCTGCTTTGTAAATATCTCCTGCTGGCACATGTACTTTCCTTTTACTGTCAGCTGAAGCACAGCCCCGCTCTTGAATAGACTTTGATCATTGAGAGCATGCTCTCCATTCCTTCCTCCTTAAAACACACTTGATATGACACATAAAGCGATTGAGCTTTGAATGCTCCCTCGCAGCAGCTTAGTGTGTTGGATGACAAGAAAATTGCAAGCTTCCCACTGAAGAAGCCATCGCAGGATGTGTGCAGTGGGCTTCATTTGTATATTAGCTATCAGTTAATGAGGTTTCAGGCAAACTGCTGATGGTGCTTCATAAGATATTCCGTACATGGCTGAATACTAATGTGAGCCAGCTGAATTATCTACTTCCAGATAAATGGATTTTTTCCCATCAGGTCGAAGGAATCGGTTTCACGTTTACATATTTTTTAATGCAGTTTAATGAAGTTCACCTCAGCTGTCAGAATAAACTGCTTCAATTTCTTTGGTTCCCAAATCTTAGTGCTGGATTTTTTTAGCATAAGTGGCTGCTAGTTATTTTGCAAGAAAGAGTTTCCTTGCAGAGCACTAATCTTTTCTACTGACAGTGGGATGATTTAGTTATTTCAGGAAATCAGGTTTAGATAGCCAGTTCCTCTGCAATAAACAGGACTTTCGTCATGAGGTGGAGCTCTGGAAATGGTGATTCTGAGATTTATTCCAGTGCTTTGCAAAAGTAATCAAACTTCAGGTGCTTCTCTTATCATAAGGACACTTGGACGTCAGACTTGAATGGGGTTTTATAGGGATTTTATGTGATGTGCAGCTACAGCTGCAAATCTGTTTAGGAATATCTAACAGATTTGCACATCTTGTCAGTAGTTCCCATCGTTCCTCTTGCCAAAAGAGCTTAGGCTTTGACAGACTGAATGGAGTGTGACTGGGAAGAGTCATTTAACAGAAAACTGAGTCTTGCCATAGATTCTTTATTGCACATAGGATTTGTTTAGATTTAGGTAGACATTCTTACTTTCACATAGACTATTGCATTGTTGCTGTTTTTTTTTTTTTTTAGAGCTATTGCTCAGCTGGAAGCTGAACCTGTGTTCAAGGTGAGGATGAAGCTCTTGCCGCAACAGGAAGGTTTTCAGGTTTGTCCTGAATGAAGTCCATCCCTCACTATCTTAGACAAGATTTTCTGTCTTGTTGACAAAAGGTATTCGAAAGTGTTAGGCTAAAGCTAATGTAGCATTTTTTAAACAGCCCAAAAGGTTCAGTTTGGATTTCAAATGACAAAAGCAACTCATTCAGAATTTTGGTGCATATTC